GACTGAACTCAGTATATGTGCAAAAGCCTGGAAACATCTCCATCATCAAAGTAAATGGGCAGCTAAAAAATGACACAAGCTCTTGACATTGCAAGATGCAAGAAATCTGCTGTAAGCTACAAAAGGGACTTAAATGGTTAACTATTAACTAGATGTCAAGGAATGAGGCATCAAAGATCAAGTTTAAAAGCTTTTTAAGACACTGAAGGAATGCTGTAAACTCTGATTATAATTTCTGTATGGCATTGATTATTTACAATGTTTATAAAAGTACTAGCCCTACATTTAAGTTGGTATCAATAGTCTTAGATTAAGTATTTTCTGGTAAAGGATTTTCCTTATGTACTTATTTCAGGCTTGCCTCAAGCAAAAGGTCATTTTATCATACCTTATATTGAGACTAGGGAAAAAATGCAAAAATTAGAAATAAGACTGTGTGAAATGTAGTAAAATTAGGAAAACTGTGACAGATACAAAACCCAACGTGCAAAAATGAAACAACTCAAAGTCATATATGATAGTGCAATCAGTTTGGTTGGAGAATAACCTTAAGGAGGAATGATTGGAATGTGACTTTAAATAAACTGAAATAAACTTTTATTTTATTAATCTTCCTAAAAAATAAGCTTACAGTAGTGGATGGTTTGCAGGACAACTATAAAAGAAAAGCCCTAAGAACTCTGCAGTGTGACTCCTATGCCACTCCTGATTGTTCCTGAATCTTGAAAGTGAATTCACATCATTGGCAAACACTTACATAGTAATCTTCCTATTTGCTGTCATAGGTATCTATCAGGCATACCTAAAAATAACAGACTATTTAACAAGTAAAAAAGGAAGCAGAGCAAATACAAAGCCCTATTATGTTTTTTTTGGTATTAAACAAGCCATTCCTTCAGATAAGTGCCACCCATTCTTTTCATAAATGTGAAACCTTGTCAACAATCAAATAGCAAATTAGAATTCATGCCTAGTTCTTAAGATTCTGTTTCTACGACATGAAGAGTTGACAGATTCATAAATGCTAAGAAAAGCCTTATAATCTCAGTTGTTTTTTCCAGATGAAACAGTATAGCAACATACACGAGTAACTAAAAATACAGGTTTTTTTCATGCAAGAAGTTGAGACAAGCATTGACATTTCCTGGGACATGCAGCAAGCTTATTTGCTAATAATTTGAAGATAAAGGTTTCCCTTCTGCAAAATCAGGTGGATATACCTTGTATCACCATGAGGACATTAGCCTTAAAGAGGTAGATTAGTTTAGCTAAGAGGGAGGAAGTAACATGAGAGCAGCACCTCATCTCCCTCCCTGCCCAATTCAGAGTGATTGACCAAATAAATTATGGCAAACAGGAGGAAAATATGCCAAACAGGTAAAGTTCTGAACACTTCAAAATCATTTCAGCAGAGAGAAATAAAGATAAGTAATCCTTGAATTTTTCACTACAAACCTGTCAACTATAGCATTCTACATACTACAGAAACTCAGCTCTGACTCTTCCCTAGTCATGATTAACCCATCAAGTATGTCCAATGATTTTCTTGTTTTAGAAACCAAGTTGCTTATAAGAGATTTGAACTTAAATTTCTCCTGAGGTCTGTTTAAGATGTTATCTTTGGTAAGTTTGTGAGAAAAAAAAAATTTTTTTTCCTGTTTGCTTTTTATTCCTAGGAAGAAATGTAGATTCTTTCAAAAGTTAACTAAAAAAAATATTAAAACACTGGGTCTTCATATACAGTTGTGTTCAAAATGTATTCCTATTCTATACCTGTGCCTGGTGTACACACACACACACACCCCATACATATATGAAGAGAAAATCTCATAAAACTTACCACTCACATATACAAGTGAAAAAGACTGACAATCAGTTTCACAGGGAATATATTAAATATTTAATCCAAAATTTTGTACAGTTTAAACATGACCTAGAAAAACAAAAGTGAGCTCAAAATCAAATCAAGTGACAATTAAGTCCATACCTAACAGCCCAGTGTGTACATCATCTTCATTCTTCAAATTCTCAGCATGTAACTCTGTAAATACAAAAAGGGCTTGGGTAAAATGGATGATTTTATAAGTCGAACAGCAGCTCAAAGGCTGGAAAGGCATTGTGGAGTTGTGGAAAGTGCTCTGGAGTCTGAAACAACTGGGTTCAAATTCTGATCCCACTTACTAGCTATGTGACCCTAGGTAAATAAATAATAGATGTCTCTATGAGTCCAATGCCATGTATATAAAATGAGAAGTTTTATTCCTTAGGTTGTTGTAAAGCCATTTTATGTAATGCAAATTACTAGGTTGAGTTCAGTAGCTTTCTCAATTCTTCAAACTAAGCACAGACCAACGTCGTCTGCAATGGACTTCCACTTACCAGGTTTTGTGACTTTACAAACAAAAGCAATCTCTCAGAGCAAAAAAGAAAGAAATTACCCACAAGACAAAAACTCCAAATTGCAGCAAAAAAATGGAGGAGAGTTATAAGAATGAAACACTGGCACCTAAATATTTAACACTGATAGTTTACACCCAATACCATTGTATGAAGAGGTAAAACTCTGAAATTAACTTGTCAGTCTGTCTTCTGTATGAAAATCAGGCATGGTAAGCTGTTAGATGTCATCTGCAGCCCACTAAGGGCTTGGAAGCAATGAGGAAAAATTAAAATTGGTTTAATTCTATATAGCGAGGTAAAACTAATGCTACAGTGACAATGTGTTGAGTGCTTTCATACAACAAACTAGGTAGTCTTTTCTGTTTACATTTTTCTTTTTCAGTAATTTAGCCTAAAACTTACACACCAGCGAGAACTGAGATTTTAAACTCAGGTCTGATTCTTTCCACTGCGATATAAAATATCCAACCACATAATACATCCTTATAAGCTTTGGAAAGCCTTTCAAGGCACATCTCTTTCTATTCTAACCTGGACAATATTTCAACTTCAGACATCAGAAAATAAAACCATTAACCTTTTGAAAAACAACTGCCTAGCTCCTGCAACAGAACCTTACCACTACACTGGGTGGTAAACCTAATACAAAACCGAGGGACTAATTATGTTACCTATAAAAGTATAAAGCTGGGCTGTGGGAGGGAAATCTTTGCCCTTTATGAATTCTGTTAAGTGCACATCTTTCACTATTTGTGGATTAAAGTCTTTGAACGTGGATGGCCTATTTTAATTATACACACCTTTCGCCATCTTCCTTTAACGATGGTTTTACATTTTGCTTCATTTTGTCAATATTTTACCTTAAGTATTCACCAACTTTAAGATATTGCTTTTTCAAGACAACCCACTTAATAAAGACCCATTCTTAAAATAGTCCCCTGATCGGGGACCAAGATCCGTTTAACGGTTAAGGGAAGACAAAGGGGAAAACCATAGAAAGACGCAGATAAGGTCTCTGGATGGAAAGCGGCTACCAGCTTGCGGGGGTTTGATGGGGAGGAGGAGATGAAGGCGAGAGCCACGTTCAGACTTAACTAAAGTAACTAAAGTAAACGCTGGACAGACTTTCAAGGCTTGGGATTTAGTACCTTTTACTATCAGGTAGGTGATGGCGAGGAGGATGGCGAGGAGGACGGCGAATAGCAGCGAACATAAAATAGAGAGGACCTGGACAGGCCACCGCCGAGCCTGGGTTCGGCAGCCCGCGTCCGCCGAGAAGATGCCATTCCGCTTATCCGGGAGCACTGGAGACCCGTCCCCACCTGGCGGGACTAGCGAGTTCTTTCTAGGTTCCGACGACGCCCCAGCCGAGAACTCCGCCCGTAAGTCACGGGCCACTCGGTCACATCCCTCCTCTTCGTCGACTTCACCCTCACCCCAACTGTCTCCCTGACTGAAAGTGGAAAACGGCGGCCGACCGAAAGGGACAGGGGTGCCGAGACGGCGAAGCCTCCCGCTCTCCACGAACGACATGGCGGGAAAGACAGCGAGGCCCGCCGAGGTCGAGCGTCGCCCACGAGCCCCGCCCCGCGCTCGCAGAAACCAACCAGTGGCCGCGTCCCCAAAGGCCTCCACCATCCGACCCCGGTGAGCAGGGGTGCGCAAGGGTACGCGGTGAAACGGGAAGGTGGTGTGAGGCCCCAGGAAAGGCTGGCGGCCCTGGACCAGAGCTGGAGGAGGTTTGGGGCGCCCCCAAACAGTAAGAGGAAGAGGGAGCGGGAAAGCGCGCGGGGAGAAGTGAGCCGAGGCCAAAAGCAGCGGAGTCCTCTCCCCTTGCGGTGTTTTGTCCTTGCCGGAGACCTCCGCCGTTACCGCGTCACCTCCAGGCAAGTGCGCGCTTGAGCAGCCCGAAAGCCACACCTCCCCGACGCCTGGTCCTAGCGCCCGCCCATACCCTTCTAATTCACATTTCCGAACCTATTTGCTTTCTCCCTTCTTTCCCTCTATGCCTGCACGCTTCCCCCGCTTCCCTCATTAACGGCAGCTTACTGCCCAGCACTCTCGCCTCCCTTAACTGCGCATTCCGCCTTCCCCTTCGCATTGTTCTCCCCGCCCCTATCACAACTTCCCTCCACGCCGCTCGGCACGCCTCCTCCCTCCCCTCCGCCCCGGCGCGCTCTCACCAGCTGGTGCGTACAGAGCTCGAACCCGCTCCTCACGACCCCTCCTCTCGCCTTCCCCGCCCCCTCCCTCCGCCTCGAGCCCAGCGCGCGTGCACCTGGCCCCAGCCACCGCTAACGCTAGAAGCTGCTTACCCCACCCCCACCCCACCCTACCCCGCCCTACCCCGCCGCACCCCACCCCTGGCGGCCTCAGGTTTGTGGGGCGTCCGTAACTCGGGCGGGGGGGTGAAGGTGGTGGGCCCCCACTGCCCCACCCACTGCGGGGTGAGGCGGTCTAAGCTCGGGAAGCTGGAACACTGTCGTCTTCCCTTCCCTGGGGGAAGTTGGTGGAGTTTTCCCGGCTGAGGACTCGGCGCAGAAACTTCCTCCGTCCCCCTCCCCCCCTCCATGCAGGCGACGCCGAGTGAGGCTGAGGCTGGGGGCGAATCGCCGAAGAGCTGCGTGTCGGCAGCGCAGCCTGATTGGACGGCGGGGAAGCCTGTCAGCTTATTGGCCCCGCTGATCCCGCCCCGTAGCGCAGGGCAGCCTTTAACCTTTGGCCCCAGTGGGCGCCAGCCACTAAGATCGCTTCTTGTTGGTATGTGTAGCGGCAGCGGCCGCCGGCGGAGCAGTCTGAGCCCGACGATGAGGCCGGGGACGGGAGCTGAGCGCGGAGGCCTCATGGTGAGTGAAATGGAGAGCCATCCTCCCTCGCGGGGTCCCGGGGACGGGGAGCGGAGATTGTCCGGCTCAAGCCTCTGCTCCAGCTCTTGGGTCTCTGCTGACGGCTTCCTGAGGAGACGGCCCTCGGTAAGGGATCAGTGGGGCAGGGGGAAGGCGGCACAATGAAAAACGGAGTCAGAGACAGGAAGCTTTCTCCAAAAGGAGAAGATGAGAGTGGACGAAGGAAGAGCTCGAGATGGTGGGATATGTTCCGAGGAAGAGAAATGGAGGGCGGAGATGCACAAAGGAAAGGAAGTGGGACCCTGGAAGTTCCCAGTGGGTTTGGCCTAGGTAGATGCGCGGTGGAGGTGCTGGGCCCCAGGCGGGGTGAGCGTTTTTGAGAGGTAGGCCTGATTTGGCAGGTTGAGAGAGGCAGAGACTTGATTCTGTAGACTTTAAAAGAGGCTGCCAGAATCTCTTACCAGTAGTTGTGTTGTCTAGAGCAGGAAAACAGTTGGGAGAATTGGCAGGGAGGATTATCTGGCTTTAAGACCAGGAACAATGGACACACAAGTAAAGAAAATAGTTGTCTTATAAAACGCGTTAAAATACGTGGATTTGTCGTTTTTCATTTAGGGTCCGGGAATGACAGACCTCAGTCTTTGAAAAAAATATTTTGGTAGAAGTAACTTTCTCTGTTTGAGAGGTTCTATTAGGAAATAATACGTTTATTTGTTAGAGGTGTGATGTCCCTTGGTACCTAGACTGCTTTTTAAGGCCAGCCCTCATCTGAGTTAATTTGTAAATTCAGTGTTTTAAAGCTTAAAATCAGTTAGAAATGCATTTAAGAATGAGTAGCGTTGTAAAATAAGAGCTGACTATGTGTGAAGTAGGACAGAGTTGTGGTTTTCACCATAACAGTTTTTAAGTTGGCTTTCACGTGCATTTCTTCCCAGTTTAGCAAGCCAATTAGTAACTGAGTAAGTTGGCATGCTTTTTAAAAGCCAAAACTGTAAAGTAGCTGTCCGCTAGATTTTAACTTTCTCCATTTTGTTCAGGAAATTGGTCATTTGCAGGCTTGTTATTAATACTGGTGCAATGCATTTTATTTAAGACAGTAAGGTATAAATTAACCCAATAATTGAATCGCATATTAGCCGAGTATCATGCCATTCACATAACTGATTTGTTGAAGTCAGATTTTTGAAAAGCATTTGTTACTTGCTAATTTTTAAATTGTCCCTCTTTTTCAGATGGGGCATCCTGGCATGCATTATGCCCCAATGGGCATGCACCCTATGGGTCAGAGAGCGAATATGCCGCCTGTACCTCATGGAATGATGCCACAAATGATGCCCCCTATGGGAGGGCCACCAATGGGACAAGTAAGAATGTTTTGTATTATTTTGTATTTATTTGTGTACTTTTGCCTGTGGTATTCTGTGTCAAAGAATTTCAAAATCTGGGTCGATACTTGCAAACTGTTTTAAGTTTTAGTTTGTCAAAATAATGGTTTCAAATAAGTGAGATGTTGAATTACACTAACCAAATTTTGGTTGTAATGAAAAGTCTTCTGTGTAAGAGATTTGCTTTCTACAGCAACAAAACTGAGTTGTTTGTTTGTTTAATTTAAAAGTTGCAATGTATATCTAGGCCTGTTAGTTTAATGATTTTTTTCCCTAAGTGTGTCAATTGAGTTAACATTCTAAGAGTAAACGTCTGTTATGTCGGTGTAATTTATGTCAGTGGACCTTGTACATGCATAGAGTCTGAAAATAGTAATTGTTTAGGTGTTTGGCTTAGAATGAATTTTATTCCTGAAATAGCTTCCTGCTGTGTTTGGTGGGGGTTGAGGTGGGACGATTCTACTCTTAATTTGATTCTTCTTACGACAGTGCCAAATAAGTAGTTCATTTTTCGCTTATACTATTTTTTTTGTTTGTTTTCTTAAATGCTTATTGCTTCTGCACTCCTGCTTCTGAGCTGTCCCTTCCATCTCCAGCATAAATTGTAAACAAACATTTTGTGGGAGTGATTTGAACCAAAAGGTTTTATTGCTGACTCAGTGAATTAAATAGAATTGAATTCCCAGAGAAGCATCCAAGAAAGGTAACAGGTTCAGTTACCATGAATAATTTTATGCCCCCTGTTAGGTTCTATAATACACATATCCGTTGGTGGTTGGGTTCTTTTCATTTAAGTATCACAATAAATCATCAAATATTTAGGCTAACAGAATATTTTGGAAAGCCAGTCAGTTAGGTATGATCTTTCTGCTAATTGGAGTATTGCTTATTTTGATAATTATTTAAGCCTTGATGGATTGAGTTATTGGTGAAATTGTAGTAGAGGAAGGAGCTTGCTCTGTGTCTCTGTTTTTACTTAACCTTAAGAGTACAAGGGCTTAATGTCAAATGATTTTCTTCTTTTGTATTTGGAATATAGCCCTGAATTTTGTATAAAGATCTTTATTCAGAGGCACTAGGCCCAAAAGATTCTACCTGTAGGAATTCTTTAAATAAAAGGACCATTTATTTTGTTACTCAAGAATAACACAAGTTTTAAAACTCCCTAGGTGATGGAGAAACAACTCCGATTCCTCTTCTGTTTCTTTCCATCTCTAAGCAGCAAGGAGCTCTTCTTGTTTTCTTAGTAGAGCTGCTCTAACTAGATAATGAGCTTTAAAAAATATTTATTCTTTAAATGCTCTGGTTCTTATTTAAAATTAGTTTCTTTCCACAGAAAGATAAAATAAAACAATTTGCTACTGCCAGATGCTTCTCTCTTTTCTGGGGCCTTCTGTTTCCATTGGGCCAATCAAGGTAAGTTTTGCAAGGGATTGACCTTACCCTTGCTGAATTGGTGCTGTTGCACTACCAAAACCAAGATACCAGCTAGTCATTTCTAGTAAAATGCAGATTTTATTTTTTTTTAGGTACTCTCACGTATCTCATTGACATAAGCTGGTCACAGTTTGCTTTACGGCCCTTCTCTTTAACTATATAGTGACCATCTTCCTAGTAAGGTTACTTACTACTTTAGTATACATCCATTCAAATACTCTGAATTTTACCTTGTGGTTTTCTTCTGCTTTTTTCCTAGGCCAGTATATGCTATGTGCTTTTAAGTGTACCTGGCTATTTAGATGTTTAGGAATCTGTCTCTTTCTGTTGGCTCCTGTTAGAATAATGAATGAATGATTTAACAGTCCAGCTCTGAGGGACTCAGGAGAATCCCTGTTTTTTCCCTTAGCTTATTCCTTTTTTTCCCTCTTGATATCTAACAAATATGGGGCCCAAATCTTGGTAAAACAAATTCTTATTTTAGCTTTGATAACAGGCTGTGTGAGCATAGATAATATAAATGCTCATGTAATCCAGAAATTAATTTAAAGTACTATAAACAGCTACCTTAAAATAAAAGTTGATAATTAGCAAAATTAATTGTTTTTTCTGCATCATTTCTTCTGTCTACCCACCATCAGAAGTATTAATGAGTAGTAAGTGGTCAGAGATAATGAGAAGAAGCAGGGAGCCTTTACAGCTCGCTATGGTGACACAGAGTTGATAGAGTTCTGCCATCCAATTTTAAAAAGTTAATTCACAAATTCTTTAGACTTTGGGACTGAAGGTTATGAGTACCTTCATGTAAATTGCCTAGTTCACATTACGATTGCATTCTGGGACCAGCTGAGGATGGAAATTGGTGGCGGTCTTACTTACTAAATGATTATAGTCTTTGGAATGTTACTGAACATGACATTAAAACTTGTTTGTAAGATGATATGCAGACTGGATATAATAACAATCTACAGAAGCCAGAGATTGCACTTTCTGACATGCAGCAAATTATTTAGATTAAAGTAGTGTGTTTTCTTTTGTTTTAATTCAGGAGATAACCTAGAATGCCCTTTATACAATTCAGGCTGAATCTATTGATAGTAATAAATACTTAGAAATTATCAAATAGAGCTTAATAATATTCTTTCAAGTTTATCTCAATTATCTATCCTTTAAGTTAAACTTGCCTATTTCTTATTTTATGTTAATTTCATGTAGGAAAGTTGTACTTCTGCTTTTACAGAATTATAGGATCTTACAGCTGGGAAAGGGACCTTACAAGTTGCATAAATGTTAATATATGAGCTAAACAATAGTTTATCATTGGTTGAAAAACCATAGTAGTAAAATAATTTTCCTGCGTGGTAGCAGTAGTCAAATTTCTAGTAGAGATTTGTATTAAGACATAATTATGTGTGAAGCTGTCATCTTTCTCCGTGTGTATAATAAATAATGTTTTGCCTTTAAAATATTTTTACTACTTTCTCATTGTCTTTTCTATCATATGAACCATCCTTATTACAGATGATTTTGCCTTCTCTTAAGCCCCGATAAGTTTACCTGGCTCCTTTTTTCATTCTTAATTTCCTTTTTTTAATGAGAATAGTAGAGTAAAAGACTTGTGGTCCCTTTCAGCTCTAACAGCCTATGATTCAGTTTAGGTCATTTGATAAGAATAGGGGATATCTATATAAGATTTTATGGATTAATATTGAAATAAAAGAACAGAAAATTGTTAGTAATGCCTCCTTAATTCTAATTATTCAACACTTTTTTCTTTGTTCAATAAACTGATAAATGAATAATTGTTCTTTACAGACAAATTGGATTTTCTTGTTCTCATATTGAGTAAGGCAGGTTTTTATACGTCTTATTTCTATTCCTGCTGCCATCTGAGCTTAAGTCGTTACACTCCTATGCCTAGGATATTCTTCATAACTTTTGAGCTGTTTTTCTTGCTCCAAGCCTGCTCCCCCTAAAACAATTCTTAGATTTCAGAAGGTTATTCCTTGCCTAGAAACTTCTGGTGGTGTTCTGTGCCTATAGTGTAATGTCTACATTCCACAACTTAACTTTCAGCCATCTCCCTTAGTATAATCCAAGGCATGATTCTGAGCTGCTGGTCTTAACATTCCCTATTTTGAACCCAGACTTGTCTTTTCATGTTATCTTGAGTGATTATATTAGTTGACAACAGAGCTTATGCTGTTTTTCTTGCCCTCTGCCCTCCTGCTCCCAGCTCACGACCATGATGAACTTCCCTTTACTTACCTAAGTTCTGCCATTTCAAGTCCTGCCTTCTCCAGGAGGTCCTTAGTAATAAATTTGCCCAGTATACACTTACCCTCCAGATTATTAAAATAAAATCATATGTGTTCTGCCCATAACTCTTTACTATTTCACTTATTTTGGCACTTAGTTACTGATTTGTTTCATGGCTTGTATGCTGTGGCTTCCCAATAGGTAATAGATTGTAAGCTCGTAGAGGGCAGGGCCTATATTCTTTATGTTTAAGAAGTCTGTATGTGCTGAGCACAGTTCTTGGCACATCATAGGTGCTCAGTAAAATACTTGTTGAATGAATGAAATAAACACACATACTTGTTTTCTACAATATAAGCAAGGAAGTTAGTGTTGCACGAGACTGTTTTCATTTGTTACTTATGACTTTACATTGTTACCATTTACTGTTTTCAGTGTATGCCTCTACTGTTGCTTTTTCATTTGTCAGAAATGGATGATAAATAGGATGAAATACATTGTTTTGTTTGGTGAATAAAACAATTGCTTATATCCACTTTAAATTATAGGCAAATGTATTTCTGTCTCTATGGCTTCATTGGTGATCATCTCTTTAATTTTTACCACAAATTTTTCCATACCCTAGGGAAAAATGATGATTTGGAGTAAAGGCATTCCAGAGAAATCTAACACATTGGTATCTTAGGTTTATCTGGCTACTTTGATAAATTGATTTGTTGCTGTTGCTTTTGAATTACCCTCACTTTTGAGTCCTTTCGATAGAGTTGGACATTAGCTAGTAAAAAAGAGAGACTTTTTTCCTAAGGTTATCTGCTCATAGATTATTGAATCTATGTAACTTTCTGTATGTGTTTACATTACCCAGGTGAGTACATTTTAAAAAATAGATTGACCCATACCTACTGTGTTAGTGTAACTTTTGGGCTGTGTTTATACTTAGATTTTGATAGGTTACACTAATAATACTAGAAGATAAGTTTATTTTGCTTATCTTTAGCTAGCAAATCGTTTTAATATGAACTCATCTATTCAAAAACTTCAGCTTGATTAGTGTTTCTGCGTATATGGGGATTACTTGGAGGGATCTAAGAAGACTGTAACTTTATAAGAATAAACTATACCCCTCCCCCCTTTGCAATTCAAAGGGCATGGTATTTTCTAAAGATGCTAAGAGGTCCTGCAGAAGCCTTTTAAAACTTTTTACTCGATGTTTCTTGGTTTTATTTAACCATCTTCCCCTCCCCCACTTCCACACTGCCTTACCCCCTTGTTTGTTTTGCTTT